AATGTCCTAAACAGAGAATAAATTTAAAATAACTTGACATCAAAAATTAACATTTTTTTTTATCTTTTAAATGAAGTATATCTGTTAATAATTTCAGTTGTGTTCTTTAACCTCCTGATGAGCAGATTGAAGTTGGAGATAATGTTTTGAATATTTTATTTTTTGTGTGTGTCTGTATATATATATATATATATATATAATATGTGTGTGTATGTATGTGTATGAAGAATTCATTCAAACAAGTTTTATTAGATAACACTGACAAGGTTTGTTTTTTACATTTTTTATTAAATTATTAATAAACTCTCCAGTTTAAAGTTCTTTCTACATTTTTTTTACTGTAGGATAATGCTGATTTTTAACCTGTGTTTAATATGTAGCTATACAAGAATATAAAATATATATATATATTCTGATAAAATTTTCCATCTCTTTGATCATCTTGTGAAGTAGTAGTACTTGTTTTTCCATTGTACTGTCTGTATCTGATCTTTCCATGGAAGCAGCAGGTGTCATGCCAAGAAGATTTATACTTCACCATTTGTTTAATTAGAGCCGATTAAGTGGCTGGATGGTTAATTGCTGCACATGTCTGACATGATGCATTGTTGGGATTTTGATGTTCATAAAAATAGTGAAATAAACAGTATTAAACTCATAGTCCAGGTTCTGGATGGTCACATAGTGCAGATGCACACCAAAATGCAAGCATAGTAAGGGTAACAATAGTAAGCTGCATAGCACAAATTGGAACAAATGTGTCCTCAGGAGCATCAACACATACTTTTATTTGAAGCATGACTGGCATACATACCTCCAATCAGGTCAAAACACCATCATGTACATCTCTGTTGGTATCACAAAGTGATCACCTGCAGTACAGAACAGCATTCTGTCATGTTCAGTGATGGCAGCTGGTTCTATCTTCATGCAAGTGGTGTACAATGTAGAACTTTGAACAACTATGATACAAACCCAACCACTGGCACCATCATGTGGATGAAACTAATCACAATTTTCTCCCTCACCTTTGCTATTTTTGGTGGGAACGTTGAACAGGGCAATATATGACCAGAACGTTATTCAAGCCATTTTTCTGTCAGTTCTACTCAACATGATCTGCAATATGTTTGACAAATTCCCAGGATAGCATCACTGCCAGACTTTTCCCAACTAAACATATATGGTACATGGTGGAACAACAGCTGACTTGTTTAGTTAGCCCACCTACAACATTTTCTGTATTGTTTCAACAGGTGCCAAACATGATCATAATGTATCACAAGATAGTATTTGTCATTTGTATGTATGCAAGAGTACTAACCTCTGTTAATGACACATAAATATATACAGTGTATTTATATGGGGTCTGGGTACTGTTTATACAACTTTTATTTTGAAATCTGTACATGTATTAATCTTTATTCATGATCAGTTATTATCCAGCTATTATACTTGTAAGTTTAATATTGAGTAAATTGAAGCACATATTCAGGGTGATGTGGTTGCATTTAATATATATTGCTCAGATCTTTAAAGGTTTGCTGAGGTTGTAATTCAAAATAATAAAAAAACACATTGGATAAATTGCTTTTGATATTATCTGTGCCTTTTATTAGTATCCCTCAGTATTGCTAAGCCTATGCATAATAATAAAGTTTCATCAATTTTGCAGGTTTTACTTCCACTGTATATAGTCAGTCAAGAAATTAAAGGCAATATTTTCTGTGGTGCAAGAGGTGTGCTGCTTGTAGACTTCATGCCATATGGTTAGTCAATGCAATCACATATTATAAATTACTAGGCAGCCTGAGGGAACATGTGTGTCTCTCTCTCTCTCTCACACACACACACATATACACACACACACACACACACATATACACACACACACATGCCTGCTTTAGAATTATTTTTATTATGAACAGATTTGGTTCTGATCATACCCATAATAGTTTTGGATGTGGTTGTAATTATTTTAATATGATTAAGATTGGATGTATTGTTTTGAATTGTAAATTTTAAAGAGTTGTTAGATAATATTGTCTTTTTTATCAAGTTTATTGTAATTGTTAATATCTTTTTTGTTGTACATTTTGTATGCCCTTATTAGAGATTTTTAAAAGCCTTTAAATAAAATCTTATAAATATTCCAGATTTTATTCTGTTCCAGTGGAGAGAATCTTAGTTTTTTGAGGTCATACTCGTTGATAGACTTTTTGTAAACTTCTAACTGAAGGTTATTAATTCTATTTAGAATGAGATTTAGGAATGGTAATGTTGTTATTAGTTTCACTTTCAAAGGTAAAATCTATTGTGGGTTCAACATTATTAAATTTATTTACAAGGTCAGATAAAATTGTGTCATGTAAATATATTATTAGAGTATCATATATAAGAATTTTGTGATAAATTACTTTTGAAATAAACAGTTTCTAGAAATTCTAAAAAGAAACAGACTAAAACACAACTAAGAGAGGAACTCATCAGTACACAAAGGGGGGAAAGGCATTGATTAGTAATTGGCACATTTTTATGATTTTATGTCTGGGAAGAGATAATTTTATTTTTCTATTTGTTAAATGTCTTTTAGTGAATTTAGGCATTTCCTTACAGGAACATTTGTATATAAAGATTTTATATCTAAATTTGCCATATATTTGTCTTTTATGTCTATGTTTTTTAATTTGTTAATCTGTTATTTTATATGCAAGGAGCTAATTGTGCCAAGTAGTGGGGTTAAAATTTGGGCTTGTGTGCAAGCTAGTTTATGTGGGGTGCTACCTATTCCTGATATAATAAGTCAAAGTGAAATACCTGGTTTATGTACTTTTGGTAATCCTTAGAATATGGGTGTTTTCCAATGATGATCAATTATTTTTAAGCACAGATGTACACAAGCAGTGTGAACATAAAAATCGACACTGCATGGTGATTGTCGGTTTCATACTTGAAGCAATCATCAGACAATGTGTTATTTTTTTTTTCTTTTAGGTTATTTATAATCCTGCCCTTATTTATTTGATTTTTTGTTTGTATATTTTCTTTGAGCCTAAAGTTTGGTATTTGATGATGTTTGATGAGGATTGTAGGTAGCATAGTAGGAATTTGTTTTCATGTTTGTATTTGGAAATAATCTGTTTAGCCATTTATATTGTTCTGAAAAGAGGATCAATGTTATTTTATTTTAATTCTTTCTTAATGTTTAGTGAGTTTTTTTCTGTTTCTGTAGAAAATTAAAATAATTTTTAATGAACTCATAATGTGATATTAAAATTCTTTACCAGTGATTAAAACCACACAGATTTTGGTTTCTTTTGAGGAAATAAGAAAAAAAAACACTTCTTTTCCTCTCTTTTCAGTTTATATTTATCCATTTGACTGGACAGTTGGACAATAATGGAAGTTGCTTGCTTGTTTCCTATATTTTTATAGAACATTGACCTTACCAGAAAAAAAAAATTGATATTATGATTTGCAGTATCTCAGCATTGAAATGTTCAAAGTTGAACTTCAGCAATTACTTATCTATATTATGTACAGGTTGTTCCACAAAAATAAGGTTATTTGATTTTCTTTTCATTGTTGCATTTTGACTGGTCGAAGTCGGTTCATGGGGTCAAATTACCGTGGATTCCTTGAGATGTAATATGTTGTGCTTATGTTTGGTTAAAAGACTAATGGAAATTCAATAATTCTTGAAAATGTCTACGTGAAAATCATCTTTTAATATAAAAGAAAAACCTGTTCTAAAGATTAATTTTGCTTTCATCAGACTAATTTCGCCTTTGTTCAAGGTAATTCAAAAAATATTGATTTCAAGACATTTCCTTTGATCAAATAAAACACATCTTTTTCTGGACAATTTGATTCTTTATTGAGAGTTAATATTTGATTGCTGTCATACAGCAAAAAGGTCATTTTATCAACAGCTTGATATATTTTTACTCTTTCTTACAAGACAAATGATAAATACTAGAAATTAAAGTAACGACAAAAACTTGAAAGTTTTATAAAAATAATGTTTGTTTTTTCGTCACTTTTATTTAAGCTTTTATAAGACTTCATTTTGGTACATGATAACTAACATGGTTATCAAAAGAATGCTTTTGCCTTGATTTTGATTTTTCTTTTATTGTTTCCTGATTTTTTTAAAGTCTGCAGTGGCTTACAACCATATGTTGAAATACCAGTTTTTGTACAATCACCAAAGTTAAGCAACATAGTCTGGTCGGTACCTGATCAATCTAGAGTCTGCAAAATTATAAGAATATTAGCTCAACATTAAAAGAATTATTATGACAAAACATAATGCTGCTGCTTCAATTTGTATTTTAGTTAGTGTGTTTTTTATTAGATAATTTCCTTATAAATTTCTTTGTCTTTTCCATATAAACATAAAGAAACTTTTAGATGGAAATTTTATGATATCCATTGATCTCAAAGTTTCTTTAGCTTTACACTGTGCATTACAATTCTGTTTTTAAATACAATCAATGGATTGAAAGTATAAGGAATAAATATTAGGGAAAAACCAGTTAAGTAATCAATTAACTGTTACTTATTTACATAGAAGCAAGTTTTGAAGGCATCACATATTATATAAATGCTTTTAATTTAAGCAGTCTATTCAAAATTTTGTGAAATGAGTATAATAGGGTATGTCATATATTTATCTGGATATTGTTCTCATTTTTGCTGTATATAACACAACATTGCAGTTTGTAGATTTTTCAGACTCTCTCAATTTTACCTGATTTTGACACAATGGACTGCCTAAGATCATATCGGCCAAAATCATTTTTTTTAAAAAATAAGAAACTTGAAAAAATATAAGAAACTAGAATAATGTGCATAAAAAAATAAATAAATATTCAAGATGTCCAAATATTTACAGATATGGAAATATTTTGGTGTTTTCTCCCTTCAAAGTTTGTATTGACAGTCAGTATTTTATTTTTAAATTGGGTATTTCCATTTGTATTTATTTATTTCTCCAGGAATTCTTAAAACAAATGAAAGATGGAGACCCAAAAGCTGAGGTAAACCAAAACATCATTGGACAATTTGGAGTTGGCTTTTATTCTGCATTTATGGTTGGGGAAAATGTTGAAGTCTATACTCAATCCTACAAATCTGATGAACCTTCTTACAAGTGGATCTCTGATGGGTAAGTCTCTCCACCTTAGGACTTCATCAGATTAAGTTTGTTTATGTTGGTGTGATTACACATGCCCATAAATGAGAGATGCTGGAAATTTTAAATTAAGACAAAATATTTTTTATTTTTTTTATCTGTGTGTTGAGTATATAATCTAGCCAATTTCATTTATATTTGTTTTTTCCTTTTGTTATTGTTTCCATCATCTTTCTTATTAAATATGCCATATTGTAATAACAGAAAATCTAACAAGAATGGTGAAATGTTTTAAGAGCCTTGATGTAAGTTTACTGTAGATGAACTAGCGATTAAAGAACTTTTAAGTATTTTTGTCTTAGTGAATTGTTTTCTCTTTTAATTATAGTAGAATTTTTATGTCAAAATTGTGTTCAGTCTCATTATGATAAGTTTTAATGTGTTGTTTTTTAAAATGTCTCTTTTGTGTTCATATAATCTTTTATCTAAACTTCTTGAGGTTTCTTTTTAGCACTTCTTACAGGTGATTGAGTAAATTCCTTCAAGTTTTGTATTAAGTCTTTTATTGTTTTAGATGTAATAGTGACAAATTTTATTGCATAATGTATATAAAGTTGGGGGAGAACGAGTACTCAATATTAGGGATATGATATTGGCAGATATAAACAGTGTAGACATAGAAACCAACACTGCATTGTGACTACAGTTTCATACTTAAATGATCACTATGGTCTAATGATCTTTCAAGATGTGATACTGCCTGACACCATGCAATGTTTATTTCTTTGGCCACACTCTTTTATAAGGAAGAAAGTAAAAAAAAAAAAAAAATGCTTTGAACCTGCTGTCCATTTTATTATTTGGACACCTGAATCTGAATTAGTAAAATATGGAACTGATATGATTTTAAAAAGACGTCATTTGGTAATTCTAATCCTTATATTTACTCTTCATTGTTAAAAGAATTCCTATAAAACATGCTTGTAAAATCCAACTGAAAACTAATTTCACAGTTATGATAAATGTAAAAGAATATAAAAGAATTATGAAAGCACTTTTTACAGACAGAAGAACAGAGTCTTGCTTTATAATTTATTTTGCTTATTTATTCTTTGTATCAAATTGGATGAAAACATCTAAAAATAAGAACATTTAATTTACAGGTAAGGAATGGATTTGATTTTATTAATATTCCAGTATGTATTTACATCAGCCAGAGAATTTTTAGGAACAAGGTCTTTTGATAAACCTGGATAAACATGCCTGCAATAAAATGGAGTCAGACGGATGGTTTTTCCCTGACACTGCTTTTTCAATTACTCAAATAGATTTTTTGTATAAATTAAGTATTTGTAAAATTTCAAGGAGTGTTATGTGTTGTAGTCACAATGCCTTTAACTATGAAACATAAAAACAGATCTTTCTGTTCACTCTGGTAGGATTTTGATCTTAAAAATTACATTTCTTTTTCAAATGTCTTAAATAAAGCCACACTGTTGTTGCCCTATTTTCAGTCTAATTCTGCTATGAGCTCAATCCATTAAAATCCTAATGATTAGCTATGTTTCTTATCAAGCTGATTATATGATAGTTTGCATTTATTTGCACATGGTTTCCCTGGCAATGCTATAAAGTTTGATTAAACACCAGTATTTTGCCATTGTTGTAGATTTCATTTATCATTTCAGTAACTTTGTCAGTCCTGAAATTGTCTACACCTGTCAGCACCTCTATTATAATCTCAACTGGTCCTGCAGTTTTGTTTCTCTTCATTTCGGTCAGTGCTGACCTAAACTCAGATTTTAATACTATGTGTCTTTCCATGCTTTTATGTATTCTACATTTCTCTCTTTAGTGATCATGGAAGACTTCTCCAATGCTTTTTTCACTCCATTCCTTTAGTACCTTTACTTTTTTTCATTATAATTGTTCCATTTTTTAATTTTATATATCCTACCAAAGAACGTATTTCATGTCTTTCTAATACTTTTTTATCTTCATGCATGTCTGCTACATCCATGTTCTGCATAGTAACCATAAAAAAATTGATGCAAATATTTATGTATGACTCAATATATCTAAGATCAGAGTGTAGTATCTACATAGTCTTCCTTGGATCAGTGTAGTATCTGTGCCTTCTGAAAAGTGTTATGCCAAAAAATATAGATACATTGTTTTATTTTTCATTGTTATAAATTTACATTCTATAAATTACTTTTTCTAAACATTACGTTGTAAAAATTTATACAAAATTTATTGCCCTTTTTATATTTATTTTTTTTTACCTTTCATTTTCAATGAAGTTCTCTTTTCTTTTTTTTATACTGAAATTCACTCAGTAAAAGACTTAAGAGCCACTCAAGGTAGAAAATTACTGTTAAAATGGTTATGATGACTGAAAGTAGAGGTTGTAGGAAGTGATGATGATGAGGATAGATAAGGATTGTCTATTAAGTTGAAAAGATGGTTGTACCATTCATGGAAATATCCACACAGGTGTCTGTTACACAAAATAGCATTTCTTGGGAAATTTTTGTCTGAGTGGAAGTTTCTTCTTACATTTGAAACTCTGAAGAAATGAAAAATGATTCAACTCTATGGAAGTAGTATGTCTGATCCTAGCTGGTCTGAACTGGTGAAACAAAAGAATGAAGCTCACCTGAACATTTACTATGGAAATAGCAAAAGACTAGTGATAGTCTTACGATATTAAATCTATTGGAAAAGGCTGTAGAGTGGAGACTAGGTTTCAGAATTGTTTATAATGTCTTGACCTTGTAAGCAATTCAGAACTATTTCAAAACTGGAAGGTCAAGATTATGTGTGGCTCTAGCACAGACATGGCAGCAATAATACTTTTTTGGTCTAATCTGACTCTTTTAATATTAATAACAGAAGGAATCAGTTACCTTATCCACACACACACATACACACCCCTATGTGCATAATGTGATGTTTTAGTTATTTTTCACTTAGTCTTTTTTTAAGGATTTTATTTAAAGTTATTCATGTTTTATTTCAACTGGACAAAATAATCATGAAATAGTTAACTTAGTGCTGTAATTATCAAAATGTTGAGCTAATATTGATTTCTCTCTGAATTTCTGGGATGAAGAGTTATTATAGCCGTAATGTAGTAATTGTACGTTCAATCTCTAGGCAAGGCAGTGTGTACTCAGACTCATTGGAAACAGGGCGAGCAATAACAGAGACGTATTAAATAAAGAACTAGACAATATATCCCTAGACAGGAGAAGGAGAACAATCTATTCCCCAGACTAAATAAAAGGGGTTCAGTTTGAAATTCTCTGATGAAGGCCAGACGACACAATGTCTGAAATGTGAATCCATGAATGAATGGAACTGTTATGACAAAACTCCCACAATTGTCTCACTGTACACTTCATTGGAAGAGGTCAACTATAATCAGTCTCCCATTTTTAAGCTATACTGCTCTCTATAGAATGAAGTAAGCCATAGATTTCTGACCTCTTAGAAGGGAATCATTTTTCTCTAACAGAAATAAGTTCCTGTATATAGGTTTTTAATATGTAAAGTATTTAGTACATTGTTTTTTTTATTCGCCTCCTGCATGTAAATGTAAGTGAAAATGGATCAGTTCTAAGAGAATTTTTCTTTTAAACTGTCTTTTTTGCACCACTCAAGTTTAGCTTTCTTTGAAGTTAGTGGCAATAAATCTTAAAAGTTTTTATCTTAAACCCAGATCACAAATAAGCCCAAAATATGTCTTTTTCTTTTTGTCCATCAGCCAACCACAAAAAAATATTTGTCCAATTTTTAAATCTTCTCAAAACTAGACTCCTGAGATCTTTAAGTGATCCATTCTTATTTCAGTATTTTGGAAGAATGTAGAATTGTGCCAAATTACTTAGTGGTACTAAAGAGGAGCTCTCATGTGAACAAGATGTTAGATAATATGGAAATTTTCTTTTCAGTAATTTTTTTTTTTTTTTTTTAATGTGGTTCTTTTTTTATTGTTACTGCTGTCTCAAACTCTTTACAAAGAAGCTATTGAATTTAACACTTCACAATATCCAATAAATCAGATTTGTTACATTTTTCCCAAATACCACTTTCTTCCTACTGTCACTAAACTATTACGAAACTTGGCAGCTTCTAGCACAGTCTATAAGCATTTACAATGAGTATCTGTCATCACAAAAATATGTAGTAATTCTCAAATATTTTCTAAGCAAATTGAATAGACTTTTATATGGATAAAAGAAAAAACTTCTCCCCCCCCCTCCCCTGCTCCTTTGTTGTAATTCATATTTCACTCTGGAACAGATTTCATTAGTTTTATTTTAATTGTAATCCGGATAAAATTAGCAACAAGGACACCTTCACCTGAAGATGCTGTGGTAAAGATAATAATAGTCCTAAAGAAGTTCATAAAATATTATCTCCAAATTTAAAAAGTACCTTGTGTAAATATGAACTTTGACATTTGCTATTTTCAAAATTCAAACATGATGAACAGTTAACATGGTGACTAGGACATGAAAGAAACCCTAACGATTTGAAGTCTTTGCCTTTTGCGGAGCTGTTTTAATTTGATTAACCTGTGAATTTTATAATGGAGAATTCTCAACAAGCTTAATAATTAACTGTTGAATGTTTCTTGTATTGCTTAACTTTGTCTTTTGCTTTCAGCTCTGGTGTTTATGACTTGACAGAGGCTGAAGGTGTACAAAGAGGAACAAAAATCATTGTTCATTTAAAAGGAGACAGCTATGATTTTGCAAAGGAAGAAATTATTAACGGTCAGTTTTCCAATAATTTTATTATGATTTTGATAAGATTTCTCTCTCCACCCCTCAAATTCAACCTTTCAATCCTGGAAAAAAAAATTAAATAATGTTAACCCTGTTTAAAGAAATGAAGGAGAAATATATAGATTTTCCTGCAAAGTCTTATATAAAACTAGCAGGCTTCACCTGCTCGCTATTGCTTCGTAAATTAAGATATATGCACTACTTGAAATCTTTGAAACAAAAATTGTAAATGAACATTTCATTCATAAATTGGCTTTTTATAGTTAAGGAAAGTTTTATAAATAGATGCCAACTTGTTGAAGGCCAAGTAAAATGCAAATTTCAAACAATTTTATGCACTATATAAGAAAATATTCCTAAACAGAACTATTTTTAATATGAAAATCAAAACAAATAAAAAAACAGTAATGAAGGGCAGTTAATTTTTTAAATAAACTTTTTTAAAATCAATATGCAAATTAGTTAAACCTGGAAAGTGATATTGCCTAGAACTAGATAACATATAATACAGAGATTGAGCTTTTAGTGTGTAAATTACACATCTGTTTATCATCTCTCAGTTGCACAAGAGGGAGGGAGGGATCGGTGCTCGCACCGAGGCCAGTGCAACCAATGGTTACTGGAGCTGAGGGGAATTTTTGTTCCTGTCTCGGGCGTACGTGCTCGGTCCCCACCTAAAAATAGACCTTGTGTCACATCTTGTCCTAGTGGGGGGACAGAGTAAATACCGAGTGTAAATTTTATAACACATCTATTTATCATCTCTCAGTTGCATCTCTGTCTTTGGGCAGAGTGCACTCAGGGGCGACTCAAAGGGCAGAGTCGCAACTGAGGAAAATTATACTGAGAGGTGCCTGGCCCTGGGAAACAGCTGCCCAAGGCCACACCCTATCATAGCACCAGGGAGATAATGGCTAGTATAATATATTAATAAATGTTTTTAACCTTGCATAATCTGGCAACCGTGAATCTGAGCTTAACAAAAATCGTTCCCTGCACCTAACTTTTCTAGGGCTTTTGAATGAGCTATGAATCATTGAAATCAGACCAGTGTGAGCGGAGGAGTTGCTTAGACACACATGTGCGCGCACACACACACACACTGCTTGGTCATACAGCAGCCAAAAGTTTATGATAAATATGGCAACAAAGATGAAGAATGTTTCTCTATTGCTTAACAATTTAATAACATACCTGCTTGTGCTTGTAATGTTTGCCTTTGTGTTTCTCTTGATTCACCATCTTTAGAAAAAAGTAAATGTTTTACAAATTTGTTACTCTCTGCTTACATCACACAAATGGATTTTCTCCTTTCAATCCAAATACTTTACAATACCAAGACAATTTGATAAACCTACATTTCACTGAGCAGTACTAATTTGTGTAGTGAGTTTAGTATTCAATTTTATACTAAGATATATATATATATATATATATATATATATATATATATATATTTTGGAGTTAAGATTGCTTTAGTGATACAAGTCTTACTAGTTAACCCACAAGAAAAGGTGGATTCATACCTTTCCCAAGATTATTTGCACATAAGTGAATATAACGAACATAACTGAAATTCCAACTCGGCTCTCTGATTAACAATTCCGAGCAACTATCCATCACACCACCTGCACATCCAAGCTTACAACACCTGGTTTTCTCAAGCAGTTATCCATCTTGGTAATGACCAGGTCCAACTTTGCTTAACTGGTGATTGCATAGGAACTAGTGTTTCAACATGATGTGGCCATAAGCCGTCTATACTTTTAGCTAAATAACCAAAAATATAACAAGAGGTAAAAAAAAAAACTCTTTGCAAAGATTATAGACATTATCGACATTATAATACTGCTTGTAAAAATTGTATGCAATTGTTCTCCAAAAACACTGGAGAAATTCCTCCTAAAAGAAATTCTCAATTTTGCCTTTTCATTATTTTACTTTAATATTAAACCTCCCAAAAATTGCTATTTATGCCTGTGAATAAATGTCCCTTCAGAATGATAAACTCTGATAAATCTGATTCTCATTTATGTACTCCTTTTTGAAAGAGTCTTATTGAATTTTTTTTTTCTGCCTGTGTGCAAAAAAACAAAAATAAAAGGTAATGCTTCAGATTTTATTGATATTTTAAAATGTAATATTGAAAGGTATAAACTATAAAGAAACTATTTCTAGATTCCTTAAAAAGAAATAATTAGTGGAAAGGATTAATATGATGTTAATTTGGAATGATCTAAAAAATCTGATATTTTGTTTCACTGTTAATTTGTTTCATCTTCCAATATGGTTAAACATAGTGTGACATAACCAGAATAGCAAATACAAATATCCAAATTGTCTGAGTTTTTCTGACATAAAATTCATTACTATAAAGAAAAGCCATTTTTTTGGTGACCAGTCTTCTGCTTGCTAAGTTTATTTATACATGTGGTTATAAATAGCTACAAAATAGGAATTGATATTTATAACTATTAAAGTTTACTACAAGAGGCCACTTTGATATGGTGGCCAAAGTAGTTTGTTTTGTCCTCAGGTCCAGTTGAAATGGTAGAAATATTAGGGAAAATGTATACATTCTTCACCTTCTTCTATTTTTTTATATTTTATTTTAAAGTACAGAAAAAAATTGTTTTATACATTTTGCTGCTTCATAACTAATGTAGATTAGAGAAAAAATTGCATAGCAGATCTTATTCTCCAACCATGAACACTGAAAATAGATATTCAGTGAAAATGCATTCAAATTAGGATGTAAGTAAATATAACCGAGTACTGAAAAGTTTTCAACTCTAGACAAACTGACAAAACATCAATATTATTTATTTTTTCTTTTATTTATTCAATCTATTATTTATTTATTTATTTTTTTTTTTGGTTTGTGCAAGAACATTTCAATCCGAAAATTGACATCCTTTCTTATCTCAAGGGAGAGAACTACAGTTTGAAAAACAACAAGGGTGTTAACTCACAGATTACCAATTTTTTTCTTTTAAGTTGGTATTCAAAAATGAATTTATCAAAGCTAGATATTTTATAATGGCTCTAAGTGAGACAATATTGTGCATATAATTTTTTTATAGACATAAAACAAGGAGTAGATATTTTGCGGCCATTTTTAGACTGATGTACTATCTAGATTAAAAACCCATTATTTGTTATTTATATTTCAAGCTTGACTTGATTTCATATATCAGTTGCTACTGAATATTTCTATTGTCTAAAGAAATAATTTTATTGTAACTTTTATTCATACTTTTTCGTTTTATATTTTTTATATGCACTTTTTGTTTTGCTTATGCTTTTTTTATCTTTAACTGTTTACTTTTTCAGCAGAGAAAATAGCATAAAATAGTGATACACGCATTATATATATATATATATATATATATATATATATATATATATATATATATGGGAAAGGCATAACTCGGTGACAAAATGGGAAAAACTTGTATGTTACACGTTTCATTCTGAGCAAAGAATTCTTCAGACTAATGTTTTTTATTAATAGAGCCATTTTATATATATATATATATATATATAAAGCAGCATATATTCATTCAAGCATGTTTAATTAAATAATACAGACATATTATGTCCATTTTATTTGTATAATAATCCTTTTTGTTTTTTTATCTTCTTCATGTTGAGTTGAAATTCATTAAGGAAGGCACTGTATTTTTTTTTTTTTTTTTTTTTGTTAACCCAAGTAATTTCGATCTCCTCCAAGATCATCCTCTGGGTTGAATTGCAAAGACAAACTTAATGTAACTTTATATATATATATATATATATATATATATATATATATATATGAGAGAGAGAGTACCATGACCAAAGGATTGGTGATTCTTTCACTGAAGTTTTTAACATCCACTTTGTTTCAAATTTAGCCCACTTCAAAAAAAGTTATTCAATAACATGCACCAAAGGTTACAGAAGTAGGCAGAAATGTTGTAATTTCAAAAGACCTTACTGTGCTTCTACATGTCAACTGTATAAAAAATATTATATAAAATATACACATATCTTGGTCATCACTTGTGTGTGTTTTTTGAGATATATATATATATATATATATATATATATATAAATGACAATAGGAAAACTGTAGTTATTGTAGTTTCATTCAATGTGGACTTTCTCAAAGCAAAAACGAAATGAATTTAATTAAAGAAAATAACTAATAATAACAAAAAACAGAATGTTCTTAGCAACTGGAGGAATGTAGAGAATGATATTTTCATATTGTTAACTGAAAATAACATCAGTTATTGTCACGTGTGAAGAATATTGTCATTATAACTGTGTTGGCGGATTCATATATATATATATATAAACTTTGCTAAGTATTGAGATTTATTATTTCTGATTCAGTAATATGTATACATATGATAAAATAGAGACAAAACACATGACATAGGTTTGTTTTTTTTCCATTTGTCTTTCAATTGCAATTACTCCCTAGATAGATAGAACATTCATAGCCAGTGAAAAGTGTTTTTTTTTTCTAGATTTATTGACCTGTAATGAAATTCTTTTTGTAAAGCAATCATAATTACTTTTTAACTGCTGACTACAAATAGGTTTTATTAGAGATTTTTATTCATCAACTCTTATTAAATATTCTATTTAATTGTTCTTTTTGTATATTTTAAACCATTTTCTTTCTTTCAATTTTTGACACTAGCTATCGTGAAAAAGTACAGCAACTTTGTTGGAGTTCCAATTTTCCTGAATGGCAAACGGGCTAATGTTGTGCAGGTAGGAATTTATTTTCTGATATATTTCATTGTTTTCAGCTACTTTAACTAAAGAATTGCCTTTTGACAAGTATGATTGTTTCAAAATATCATTCATAGCCATAAATTGTTTTGTCATTTTTTTTTTTAACTAATTTAAGGCTAAACTGGCATTTATTTTTTGTATTTAAATTTGTAAAGTTAAATTTTGACTGGCAACAGTTTTTATTCTTAAAAAGGCTAATATAATTCTTCACATGTTAAAATAATGACTGACTTGATTGTACCTGAAATCCTCTTAAAAAGTAAATTAGATTAATATGTTAATGCAAAATTTATTGTTCAGCTTGATTTTATCATTTGGATTTAATATAATCACTTATTTCAGAGAAATCTTCTTTTAGGCATCAGATATGAACTGCCTTCTACTTTTGTTTATATCTGCTTTGAATCAACATATTTAGAGATAGAATGAAAAATAGTATTTTTAATGAATGATGTAATAATATGTTCATCAACATTTGAACTACAAATAGAAAAGGTGATTGAAACAAAAGGGGTGACTGGAATTTTTTATTACTAAAAAATTATAAAAAATTCCAGCCACCCCCTCTTCTTTTTCTTTTTTTTTTCAAACATCCTATTTGAAATCCAAGTGTAGATGAACATAATTTAAGTCTCCTAGGAGAAAATTTTACTGAAAAATTAAATTTTGTTCTAAATTGTTTAAATTAAGAGGTAGAAGGAGAGTTCTTAAATATTTAATAAAAGCCCTGGTTGAAAGAATGATATTTTGGGTGAATTTTCCTCTCTTTAAGGACATTCTTTCAAAATTTGAAGGTATGCATATACAATATGCAAAACTTTGGAAACCTGATCAAAAAATCATGAAAATAAACATTTAAAATATGGCATTCTTTTGTGTGCAAACATTTACCAGATAAGAAATCTGTCTTGACTTAAGTTGAAAAGTTTACAAGGAAAGTATTTATTTTTGTTCTCTACTTTGACTCCAAAAAGTATTGTTGTTGCAAAAGTTTTCTGCAGACCATTGTTGACTTCCTACGTCCAGATTGACTTTTATTCCAGATGATTTGTGCTGGTGATTTTCATTGTTACAATCTCCCTATTCATAATATTCCACAGATTTTCAATCAGTTCAAGATTAAATGATTATAATAAGAAACAAAAATCCTTTTTATGCAGGAGGGTCTTTTGCAGGACACTGTACAGTTTCCTAGTAAGATGTAATATGTGTTTATATAACTTCTTTGAGGAGATGTAAAAATTGCAAAATGATTAGAAACAAATTTGGATGAATTAGAAATAAACCAATAAGATCCTACGATTTTGTTTGTTTACATGTACGACTATTATGCTTTATTACCCAGGATCAATGTAGTATATGTCCAATATCAGATTTTCTAAACTGGAATCGGACTTTCTGACCTATATAATTATATTAAGCAGGAAAGCATTGGAGAAAAATGAGGAAGGGAAAAAAGAAGGAGGTAAGAAATTTACAGCTAAACAAAAAAGGAAACCAGGTGAAAGGAAGAAATATATGCATACAGAGAGGAGGAAAAGATGGAGGCAAAAAGACAGGTTTGCGCTGGTTGAATATCAGATGGTAATAATAATAGAAAGATTGGAAAGACAAGTAGAGTAGGAATGGAAAGGTATAAAGATTGCAATGAATTGAATATCTTAATGGAAAGATAAAGTAAAAGAAAGTTAAGTTGATAGAGTAGAAGATATACATGCTTTCCTTATTCCTTATTTACATATGATATTTATATAAGATTTAGACAGAAAACATTAACGGACAATACAGATTGAAAAGAATCAGAGGTAGGAGGTAATGGATAATTTTGGTTGTCAACACCTGTGCGATTTCTATGGGCCTAGCTACTTGCTATTACAAAGGCATTTATGAACCCTTACTTTCACTCTGTAGCCCCTTGCGTACTAGTGGCATTTCTGTCTTGCTTCGAGTGAAATGCTTATAAATAAAAAACAAAACAAAAAACAAACACTTATTATGATGATCATTTTAATATCAACATTTTAAATTTTAATTTAAGATATTGCTGTCTCTTAATTTAATATTTTCACTTATTAAGCAGTTAGAATAATAAAAAAAAAAAAAAAAAACTTTATCTTTCAGAAAAAGTTTGTTTTTATTTCCCAAGAGAATTTTCTAAGGATTTTGTATTATTTGAATTTGTGAAGAGTTAAAAAAGTAAAGATGCGGGTGTCTAGCAAGAATGCTTAATTTTCTCAAATGAGATTTAATCATTACTAGCAAACATTTTTATTAATAAATCAATTTATAAGTAAGGGTGAACAAATGAAAAGATTTCAAATTGACAACATTTTCCATTGCTGTTAAACTCTTCTATCTTCTCTTCCTTTTTTTTTTTACTTTCATTTTCTCACTGAAACCAAGTAACGTATCTGATATGTCAGTTCCATGTTTTCATGGGTCAAAACAGAATAGATCATTATTATGGAATAGTCCATTATTTTTTAGGTATTAACAGAGTGTAACAGCAAATTAACTAAGGAACTAAATAAGGAAGAAAGGCCCAAGCAGAATTATAATAGAGATATTTCATATAATGTCTCATTTCAACACAAGCCTGTGTCATTTTTGCAGCATTTTATGACCCAGCACCTCTTTTAATCCAGACGAAATTATGAACAAGCATTTGAATCTCATGCAATTGCCAGACTAATTCAATCATTAAATAGTTTAGATTTAATGTAAGCTTTTAATATTTAATGATGCTAAATTAGTTGATCTGAGCTGCATTATTGGATTACCTGACTTCTGTTGGTCCTGCAAAATAGATAATCTGACACAGTTGGGGAATGAAGGAGGACAGAAAATTTGTGGTGTACTTGTATCTAAAAATAATTATAACACTCCAGTGGATCAATTAAATGTGATAACATCAACAACATAAAGAATGTGTTCAATTGTCTGAATAAATTCTGAAATCTCTTCTCAAAACTTTAAACAAAATATCATTGTAACTCATTTATATCTGTGACAATTGTTTAAACCGATTCCAACCAAAACTATTGTGGAATAATTATTAACTACTTAATTCTATAACAAAATTTTATTTTTGTTGGAGACAATGCACTGAATACAATCTTGTTTTATTTCTTTTGGACTTTATTAGGCTCTTTGGTTGATGAATCCCCAAGAAGTTACATCAGAAATGCATGAAGAATTCTATAGATTCATCAGTGGTGTCTTTGACAAACCTCGCTTCCATTTCCACTACAAAACCGATGCCCCCGTGAACATCCGAGCTTTGTTCTACGTTCCAGAATATAAACCTAGTAAATAATTATGTTTTTCTTTTTCATAAAAATTTTAAAATCTTTTCTTTTTTTTTTTTTCCTTCTGAGGTTACTAAAAAATATTTTTCAAAATGTTCTTTTGATAATATTTACAATAAAACCGTTTTTATAGCCTTCTCATTTGTGAAAGTGGGTCATTAACCATACAGTAACCTCAATGCTGTATAACATAATGTAAAGAAGCAGACAGTTATAAAAGTTGTTGTGGGAATGATTTCTGTTTAGAAAATACTGCTTGATAATTTTTTTTATTAAAAAAAAAAAAAATCAGCTTTTGTGGAATATCCAGGAACTTTTAGAAGGGTTTGGAAAACATTCCAGTTTTTTTTTGGGGGGAATATAGTAAAACAAGTCTGACATAATGTAAATAATAGGAAGTCTGGCTGCACAGTCCATCAAAATTACAATTGCTTTTTCTTTTGGTTAAATATTAAGTCATTAAGAAAAAAAGTTTTTGGTGGTTTTTAAACAAATTCAGATTAAAACTTTTAGAAAACATCAACTGATACACATGGTTGTGTTAGATCCAAAAACTAATAATGTGCAGATATGATTGAAGGTGGGACCAGGGAATACTGTTTGTTGTTGATGGCAAGGTTGGATGTCTTTCTGTGTCTTTTATCCCTTGAGACTATGCATACATCCATCAGCTTAAAATATAGTTATTTGCTACCAGAAAACACATGTTGTGCCACTTGGATGATTTAGTAACAGTGGGCTCAAGTTCACAGGGATGGAGTTTGGCCCATTTCAAGTTTGACTTGAGTTTGTCATTGTGCCTCTTCCTTAGGTGAACTTCAACAACATGGACTAATCCCTGCAAATCTCATGGCCAAACCAACTGAGCTGAAACTTAAGGATCTTGGCCTTGAGCCACTGATATAATTCTATAAATATTTACTGCTAAGCAACATTAAAATTTGGTATGAAATTACATGTTGTTGACATGGAATTTGCATTGTGCTTTATTGATAATAAAAATGAAAATTTTTCTTAAATTATTTTGTATTTGATAAAATATCCTGACTCTATTTCAGCTTTGTTTGACATGAGCCGTGAGACTGATGTCAGCCTTACTCTCTACAGTCGAAAAGTGATGATCATGCCAAAAGCTAACTACATTTTACCAAAGTGGTTGCGGTTTGTAAAAGGTTTGTTATGTTTCTTCTTTTAGAGATGACAAATTCATTTGATAGTTTAAAGTCACTAAATCCTTTTTTTTTTTTTTTTTTTTTTCTAATTGCAGGATTATGAGTTGGTATGCTTTCTGTATAACTCTCAGACCCAATTTTTATGGATTAACCCCCAAATCTGAACATCAGATTTTTTTTTTTAATCCCTTCTTGATCAGGCCAAGAAATTTCCAGCACACACTAGTATTCATGTTTTTGTCATATTTTATCACAATCAAAACAGAGTTTTAACAAACTAAATCTAAAGACACTAAAAACGCATAAGTGAAATCTTCTTTAGAAATTCGAACAGAATTGTAGTTATTGCCCCTTAATATAAGAAAAAAAAACACCTGGACATGATAATTTTGTATGAAAGGCAATTATGAATTATTCAGAACGTAAGTGATCATGACTCTCCTCATCTTTCCTTTAATATCATTGAACCGCACATTGCCATAATTATTATTGGGTGAAACATTGGAATGGTTCCTTGTTGCCTTCTCAAAAATTTAATTCATAGCTGTCCATTAGGGAACCCAGTATGCACTACAATTTTACCCATAGCTGGTGAGTGGAGAGAGAAGAAAAGGATTCATGTTTTTCCAAAGGACATTAATACAAACAATTATGACTGGAACTTGAACTTGGTTTTACTGATTCCATTTTCCATGTTGGAATCCATTACACCACATCATAAATCTACCATATTTTGCTACTTGTCAAACGCCATTGTTTTTCCAGTAAAATATCTCCCAACACCACCCCACATCTTACAAATCAAAGATTGGTGAAGGAATTAACTTATCTTCTAGTTATTACATCTTATATATAAAGTACAGTGTTTGTGTGTGTCCAAGCAACTCCTCCACTCTCACTGGTTTGATTTCAATGATTCATTGCTCATTTAAAAGCCCTAGAAATGTTATGTGAAGGAAACGATTTTTGGTGAGTTCAAATTCAGAGTTACCAGATTATGCGAGGTTAAAAATATATATTAATTTATAGTGCGAACTTGAAGCTCAGTTCTCCCATGAATTCTGAGTGTAAAAAGTTCCTGCTCTACTTTATAGTAATTTGCACAGTGTTTACTCATTCCCCCACCAGAACGAGATGTGACACAAGGTCGTTTTAATGTGGAGACCCGAGCACGTACACTTGGGCAAGGGACAAAAATTCCTCACCAACGGTTGCGCTGGCCTCGGTGCAAGCACCAATCCCTCCCTCTTGTGCAACTGGAGGGCATGGCCTCAGGCAGCTGTTCCCTAGGGCTGGGCACCTCTCAGTATTATTTTCTCATTTTCCCCTCTGTCTTTTGACAGAGAAGCACCTGAGCACACTCTGCCCAAAGACAGAGACGCAACTGAGAGATGATAAGTCTGCGTTACAATCCCTCCAAAGAGGAATTTGCACACTAAAGGCTCAATATATGTATTATTTATTATCTATTTTTGGCAATATCACTCTTCAGGTTTAACTAATTTGCATATTGATTTTAAAAAAGTTTAATTAACTGTCCTTCATTACTGTTCTTTTATTCAAGGATTGTTTTGATTTTCATATCAAAAATACTTCTGTTTAATATCATCTTATATAGTACAGAAAAGTGTTTGAAATTTGCATTTTACTTGGCCTTCAACAAGTTGGCATCTATTTGTAAAACTTTCCTTAACTATAACAAGCCAATTTATGAAATGTTCATTTAAAATTTTTGTTTCATAGATTTCAAGTAGTGAATATATCTTACTTTGCAAAGTGATAGCGAGTGGACAAAGCCTACTAGTTCTAAATAGTTACCATAAATTTGGTACTTCTTGGTTTGTGATGAAATTGTCATGATTATTCATGCTGAAATGTGCTATTCAGTGGGTAAAATTTGGGATAGTGTGTAGGACTATGAAGCGCAAGGACAATATTTTTTCCAGATTTCTTCCTTCAAAATTTGGGCGGCGTTTTATAAGCCGTGAATAAGTTGATATTTTTGTTTTAAATCTTCTGCTTTGCTTCTCAGTCTCATAAAGGTGTAGAATTTTTCTTGAATTAAAAGTGAATTCTATCGAAAGTTATCTCCCCTACACTGCTGTATTTATTCAGTGCTTTTCTTTCAATTAGTAAATGTTGAATCGTTTCATGTCTGATGCCGGAAAAATAACTTAGAATTGTACACGACTTTCTAGTGTCTTCAGTTGTTATTTTCCATAAATTTAGTCCTAAAAATTGGATATTGAAATTTATATATCTTTAATGCGTTTAGTACCAGATTTTGTTTATTCATTTTCTCTTGATGTTATATGGAATATAGTGCAGTAAATAAAATAGTGAGTGAGTGCGTGTATATTGCTAATCAACTTAATAAGCACTTTGTAAGTAATATATGATCTAATTTGAATAGTTTCATTTTCATAACCTTTACTTTAAAATCATACTATGTTAATACAATGCAGGGAATTGATGGACATGTTTCATGATAGTGCTGATTAAGCAGGCTTTTACTAGGAGGATTGTTAATTCTTGGAAAAAAGACATACTCAAGTGAATCTTATGATCTGTGTTTAACTTAAGACTATGATATCATCCTGACCACAATGTTTTATCTTGCTATTGATTTCATCTCAAATAATATAATTTCTCTTTTTAAGTCTGAAGATCCAACAAAGCTATCCAAGATTTGTCTTTAGATTTGTTCAGTATATTAGGCAAGTGTTTCTTAAGTTTTTCTTTATCAGCACCTTTTTTCAGATGTTTACACAGGCTGGGCTGGGACACCCTATATTAAAAATGTACTGGTAAATGGAGCAGAATTAATGCAACATGTCCACATTTTGTTGCAATATAGTAACATCAACCACTGGAAGTTGTGACAGGAAGAGTCAAGCAGCATTAATTGTGCTGGAACATGAAGTTGCCATATTTTGGATTGCAGGTTCTCATACTGCATATTGCAATTGCTGCTAAATGTTTAAAATACATCTGAAAATGTAAATATACAGGCAAAAACCACAAATAGATTCATATATGAAATGTTGTAACTTGTTGCAGTTGGTGTTTAGATGGTTAAATCATCAGCTCTGTTAAAAGAATCACTTTGTAACTCCTCTAAACATTTACTTCTCCATTGAGAGTTCATAGCACCCCCAAGGGGGTGTTATTGTCTGTGTTGAGAATAACTGTATTAGACACTTTGAGTTTGTTTGTAAGATTGCTATGGTAGATATGTTTCTGCATATGCAGACATGTATGAAATAGAAAATGCTTTTTTTAAAAAAGCATTTACAGTTCATTAATGCTTAGAAGTAGAAAAATACTTTTAATATAAATATCAAAAATCCGTTTCAAATGTTTCACTTCAAGTCTGTTTTTTTTTTTTTTTTTTTTTTTTTTATTTAACAGGTGTGGTAGACAGTGAAGATATACCATTAAATTTGAGTCGAGAACTTTTACAAGACAGTGCTCTTATCAGGTGAGCTTTTATGAAGTCATTATCATTTTTAATCTTTACTTATAATGGAAATATGGCATAATAAAAGACCTTAAAAAACTTGGACTATAAACCAATGTTTATAAATGACTTCCTCCAAGATAGAAGATTTAGAGTCCGAATGGGTGATATATTCTCTGATGAAAAAGATCAAAAAAAGGGAGAGGCCCAGGGCAGCATATTATCTGTTACATTCTTTAACATTACAATAAATTACATCATCAAAAACATTAATAGCAGAATAGATTGTGCATTGTATGTTAATGATTTCTCGATCTGCTATAGATCAAGAAACATGAATCATATAGAAAGGCAGCTCCAAATATGCCGTGATAAGTTGAACAAATGGACCACAGAGAACAGACTAAAATTTTCCAAAGAAAAAACAAAATTTGTCCACTTTTGCAACGAATGCAAGCTCCACCTTGACCCAGTACTGAAACTTGACCACACTGAAATCCTAGTAGTAGATGAATATAAATACTTAGGAATCATTTTCGACCGTAAACTTACCTTTATTTCCCATATCAGGTACCTATGGTCCAAATGTAATAAACCATGCAATTACTCAGAGCCATCACGCACACTGACTGAGGAGCAGATAAAGAAACATTACTAAAACTATATTGCTCTCTAGTCACTGGACTATGGCTGCTTCATATATGGAACAGCTGGGAAATCATACTTGAAAGAACTAGATACCATACACCACTAAGGTCTTAGATTAACTCTTGGAGCATATAACACTTATCCTGTTGAAAGCTTATATACAGAAGCAAATAAACTATCTTTAAGATTAGACTTCAAAAACTCACTCTCCAATACTACTTAAAATTATTTTTCTGCCCCCTAAACCCAGCTTACAATGATACTTTCCAACCACAGTACACTAAACTTTTCCAACAGAGAGAAAATTCTATCAAGCGATTCAGTCTATGTATGAAAGAGATTATTCTGTTATTTGCAACTCCATGGATAATCAGCTAACCTTAAATAATACTATAACTTACAAGATACCCTGAATCCAAAACAAATCCAATCATCTACCCCAACCAAAATAATCAATATCAAAAATAAACACCCAGACCATCTTTTTTTATTTATATGGAGCAGATCTGTGGCCATCCTAAATGATAATAAACAATGGAAAAGAATTACAAACATAGTCTCAGTATATAGTGCCAAAACAATTGCTATTAATCTGGCACTTGACATAATAACCACAAACGCTTACAATAAATTCATAATTTTCTCAGACCTATTATCAGCGCTAACTGCATTGAAAAATAAAAAAAACTGGTGATTCTTTAACCCTCCAGGTGCTAAATAAAATTCATCAACTGTCCAAAAAAAAAAAATGAAATAATCTTTTGTTGGATACCAAGCCATCTTGGCATACATGAAAATGACAAGGCAGGCTCAGAAGCAGAGAGAGCAATGAAAGACAAAATAACAAACACAAAAATATTACACACTGATTATAGGACTGATGTCAATAAAATGAACACAAATAAATGACAAAACCAATGGGATAACCTCACTAATAACAAACTTCTGAACATTAAACCCAACATTGGAGAATGGAATACAAAATATAATAATAACAATAAAAGAGAACAGGTAGTGCTGACCTGACTTCACATAGGCCACACCTGTATCATCCATCACCATTTACTAGAAGGTGCAGAATCTCCAACATGGACGAGATGCCAAAACAGATTAACAGTAAAATTGCTGGATTGTGTAGACTTTGACCTAGCTCAAGCAAAATATTACCAAGAGAACAATTTGAAAGACCTTTTCAACAAAACAAAACCATCCAAGATATTACATTTTCTAAGAAAAGAGGGATTCTACTAAAAAATATGAGTAACTGAACAATGATATTCCAACTATATGCACCTACAACATTTAGTCCTGTACCAATTTTATTCTACAAGGAATGATTATTTTTTTCTACAAACTTATTCTAAAATTTTGTCGGTATTAAATGATCCATTGATTGATGTGCCATAAAACAAAAACTTATTTATATTTTTTTTAAATATACAATAGCTGTGATCAGTTTAGCTCTAAATAATAAGCCTTTATTTTTTTTTTTTTTTACATTTTAAATGCTATAATTAAAAATACTTTTACTTTAGTATTTGTGAAATTAGCAGTTGTCCACAGTCATAATTATTCTAATATTTTGAGATTCAAAAGATCCACTTTTATGTATGTCATGTAACTGAACATATTTAAAAAAAGAAATTCATAGCGACCACAAATCATTTGTGATATGTAAATTTTACATCTCAAATTTAATTCTAGAAAGTTTAAATTTACTTAAAAGGTGTATCAAATTTCTCAGATTAATAAATTTAATTATTGATGAGAACTTGAATAATTTTTCTCATTTTTTTAAACCTTACAAAAACAATGACACATCTTCAAAGAAGTCTTAATATGACATTCTCAACAATTTCAAGGTAATTATACAAATTGTAATTTAGCGAGCTTACCATCAGCAGATTGTAAATTTTTTACTCTTTCGGACCTTGGATTTATTTCTATAATTTTGTGAACAATCTACAATTGAAAATAAAGTAAATCTTTTGAGGAAGGTTTTTGAACATTTCCTTTATTTCACAATCTAAACCAAACCAAAAATGTTCCATCCAATTTATGTCATCAGACTGATTTCAAGATGAGAAACCATTTTTTTTTTGTATTTGCTATTAGGTCTTTTTTTTTTCTGTATAGTATGAAGTGTCACTATCTCAAGTGCCTATAATTGATATGTATGCACTTCAGTTTTAACAAATGATAATCCAAATTGCTCTCTCTCTCTCTTCTACTACTACTACTACTACTACAACAGAAAACCCAACCTTTAGTCTACATATGTTTGAAACAAAATTCTTAAGCAATCTGCAAACCTATAGTTATCTGTTGTTTCAAAATCGAGTGAATGAAAGAATCATTTGAACAGATGATAGTACCAATATTGCAAATGTGTGGCCATTTTTTGTCAGATGATCATTGCTTCCTCTGCTGAATGTTGACCGATTTAAAAAATGATTTTTTTTCTTGTTGCAATCTTATAATAATCCAGTTATAAAGATAACATTCTGTTTATTTTTGAGTAAATTTGGATGCACACAGTTGCCTGGCAATGAAAATTGTTTTTTATTCCATCTTTTCTCATAACTCTATCAAACTGAACAAGATGCGGTTCATAGATGGAACTGGAATTTCTAATTTCAATGATGACTTATTCTACTTGCAGATTGGCCAATACAATGCAATCTTTTAAAATCTGACAATTCTCTTGGTTCTGGAGTACAAGACATTGCAAAATTATGCTTATGTTTCTTGGGGTTTTAACAAATTGAATAATTATCATTAATGTATATTTCTTAAATGTCAAAACTAAAATCACACTATCACTGTATATTCTGCTTAATAAAAATGAAGCTTTCTCAAAACTGAGATATCTACCAATTTATATACGGTAAACATTTTGAAGGGACATGATATGAAGAAGCAGTAGCAAAAAACATTAACAAATCTCTATTTGTGTTACATACAGGATGAAATAGACAAAGATTTTTTGTGACATTTTGTAACTTTTGTACTTAGAAAAAAAAATAGACTATAGGATATTGTTCAAATAAAGATGAGTTTTGACTTTTTTTATTCAATAAAATAATATATGATGAACGACTGTCTCTTCTCTGCAAAGACGAGAAATGGACATTGATTTTTATTTGTATTTCGCGTGCATGCGAGCCATCATAATAAATCCAGAGTTATTTCCCTTGCATTATATTTCTTGTAGAAACATTTCATTTTGTTTTTCTTTTTTTTAAAATACATCGAAATAGGTAATTACCTTTTATAATGATAAGTATCTGTTTTTTCCTGCACCATATTTGTTTAGAAATTTGTAATTATTACTTGATTGTGTAAAATATACACTCAGTATAAGCAGCTAGTCCAGAGCAATGGTTTACAAACAAGATTCAAGTGTTCAATCCTCATTATGGTGCAATATTAGATTTGTCAAATACACATTTATTTTTTTTCTTTGTATTCATTGAATTTTTCAAAATTGTCCTTTTCTTTGTTGGTAGCTTTTAGGCTAAATTGATGACTGTTCAATTATTATGTAACATTGGACTCTCCCCCTTTTCCATATTTAATGATTGCAATGTAGATTATTAAATTTTAAACTCTTCTAATTGCTCATATTTTTTATTTTCTAGCAGAAATTAATGCAGTTCCTGAATAGTTAAAAATAAATCTTTAAAAAAACTTAAAATAAAAATAGGTTATCTGAATAAAGTTATTGCTATCAAGATAGATTCTCTAACAAATATTTTCTATTTCTGTTACAGAAAATTACGCAAAGTAATCACAGGAAGGATCCTCAAGTTCTTCATTGAGAAGTCCAAGAAAGATGTTGAAAACTACATGAAATTTTATGACGACTATGGCTTGTTTTTCAGAGAAGGAATTGTCACCACCACAGAACAAGAAGAAAGAGTAAGAAAAATTGTTTCTATTTGCTTTTACAAAATTTAGGGAATTTTTTTGTAAAAATAAGATTTCTTAAAATATTTTTGTTTTTAATACAAATATGAAACTTTGGACAAATTATTCAGTTATTTAGAGGAAGATGTTTTACTCTGGTGGTTCACATAAAAATGTTTTGGAATTTAGTTTTTGGTTTAAGTGTATTCTTTTGAAAAGGATTTTGTTTTTATTAGGGTATTAATGCTCACCATACCTTTCTAAATTTTTATAATTCTCTGTATTTAAGTTATTTGTATTTAAGTCATTTGTAAGAATTATTCACTTTTCTGAAAATTGATAAAATCATAACAAATGTTAGTGGTTGTTTATTTCTTATTGTTCTTGTATTTTTTATCATATTTTTAAGAACTATAAAGAGTCTAGTAAAACAGAACTGCAAACAGTGCTTCTTGTATAATATTCTTAATTAATTTTCTTTGGAGATATAAAGAAGAAAATTTTTTATTCATCAGAGAAGATCTTTACTTTCAGGCAGTTTAAGTTTTATTAAAATAATAAATGAATTGCATCAAGGAGTGAATTCTTCATATTAAGATTACACTATGATATATATGATATGTTAGCTTGTGAAATTCAAGGCTTTGTTTTTGGTTGTTGTAGTAGATTTTTTTTTTTTTAATTTTTAAATAAATCTTGCAATTGTTCTTGAGCTTTTTTATAAATAATATTAATGATAATAATTAGTCAATAATTTCTGTTTTGGTTTTGTGTGTCTAGGAAGAAATTGCCAAACTTCTAAGATTTGAATCTTCAAAATGTTCTCCTGGAGAAAAAATCAGTCTTGATGATTATGCCAGCCGTATGAAAGCAGGATCCCGTATTATCTACTATTTGTCTGCTCCAAGGTATCTGTCTGTTTAACAAAATGCAAAAATGAATTCTCTCAATACATTTACAAAATGAGGAAATGAGAAGCCATACAATAACAAAGCAAAAAAGTACCGGTGACTTACTACTTGTTTGATTACAATGTATATTTATACATTTCTTCAGATTTTGTGAATATATAGATGTACATAATTTAAACAGTTCACTTATCAAAAAAATTATTCTTTCATTTCTTTGAAGATTTGTGTAAAAAAAACAAAAAAGAAAACACTATAATGGGATAAACAATGAAAAATTGTATAGATGAATATTGTAAACTTATCCTCTTTTCTCTCCTCATTTTACTGAATGACCCCACCCCATTATAACAATCCTCTGTCAGTGGGTATGCATTATGTATTGAAATAGCTCCAGCATTAAACTAGGTTTTAACATTATACATGGAAAGATTTGTAAAATTATTATTTATATTTAGAATTTTAAGTAAAACAGCATGCAAATGAATTTAAGCTAAATTTGATACATGAATAAGATTAAGAATATTATGGGTTATATGATTGCCTCTTGAGGAGAAATTTAATCTTGAGGCACCTGAAAAGGCCAAGCAAGAAATCAATTGTGATCATATAAGGTTCATTGAATCCTTGAAAGAATTGATAAATATTTGCAAAGAATTTTAAAATGAATAAAATATTTAAATTATTTTGCTTTTTAAGATTCTTCTATATTCTAATTTAAAATATGAGCCTCTTCTATAATGGAGTTAAAAGTAATTTGTGTATGTTCCTAAATCTAAGTGCATAAATGAACTCTTTCGATAAATAAAAATTTCAAATCTTGGTCAGTGTTTAGATAATGATGATAGTCCTCTATATTTTCATAATGTGAAGATTTGGGTTTTTTTAAAGCAAATATAGGACACTAATGCTTTTTAGTGCATTTGTGTCATAGAAAGGGAAAGATTTCTATTTAAATAAAGTTGTGAAGAAAAGTGAGAACTTAATTTTTCCACAATTCAATATGGTCTTACTATAAAAGTATTTATGAACTTGTAATTCATTTATATCGCTATAGTTATTTGATCTTATTTCATTATATATCTTTCAAATTCACTTATGAAACTTTAGAAATGAGTCAATTCTACAAAGGCAAATTTTAACCAACATTTTTGTTAAGGAAGTGATAGTTACCTATAATTTACTTGCAAATTTTATAATTTTGGAAGATATTTAAAGTTGAATAATTCTAGGCTGACAATTTGGGATAAGAAATTCTAAATAATTGCCATTTCCAGAGAAAGAGTAAATGAAAAATAGATTTTGTCTTTCAAATTTTTCATTGAAACAAATTGTTTTTAGCGTTAAAGATAATCCAATTTGCTTTTTGTTTTTTAGCCGTGACCTGGCCATGACATCACCATACTTTGAAGCTCTTCAGAAGAAGGACACCGAAGTCCTCTTCCTCTATGAACCTTATGATGAATTAGTCCTTATGAATTTGGGACAGTTTGATCGAAAGAATCTGAAATCTGTTGAAAATGAAATCCAAGATGAAAAGGAAGAAATCAGCACAACAGATGAATCTGGTGAGTTTTTTCTAACTTTTGTCTACAAATCATCTTAACATGTTCAGAAGAAATAATCAACCTGTCAACTGATAAAGTTTTCTTTTCCCAACATTTTATTTTGCCATTCAGGTAATCTATTTATAGTGAATGCATTAACTTTTCTCATACCAAAGAGTTGAAAAGATGGTTTTGTGCTTTAAATTTGATAAAATCTTTTACATTAGAATTCATTAGTATAATCAAATTTTCCAGTTTCTTTTTTGTTTCTTTCTTTACCTCTGTTTTTAGATTCCTTGCATAAAACATTTATAATTACAAATAAAGATGAAATGTGAAAAGACTGAATTATTCTGACTTTTTATCTGCATTGGCACAATCTTCATGTTTTAAGCCCTATTTATAAATGACCATTTTTTATATTACCATGGTGTATACTATGTTTTTATTAGTAGCCCCCACTCCCATTGTAGATGACCCACTATGGAGTGTATATTTTTTTATACATCAACACAACATCAGTTATAAACAATTCACTAATTTATTTCTGATTTATCTACTAAGGTGGTTTGTTACTTCTGCAACATTTCCATTAAAAAACTTTACTGAGAAAACTTACTACATGCCTATAAAGGAAACGCACACACAGTTGATCTCTTTAAAATTTAAGTGGTTATCAGATTTTGTTTTTTTAATTTACTGAATTTGCCCGACTCTCTGGTTTGATAGATTTTAAATATAAAATATCAATCTGTGTATGCATAGATATATATGCACATACACAGTGGAATTTCTTGGTTTACAAATATAGTTTATTTCAAAAGAATCAAATCATATTTTTGTTATTGAAGATTGTAATAAAAAGTTAAAATCTGCAGATAAATCAATGCATAATAAATAAATGTTAAATATCAACATAGCCATTCATTTAAAAGTTCTTTCTTTTTTGGGTTTCTTCACCTTTTTACATTTACTCATGAACTTATCTATTCTTGTTTAAAAATAAATAATAAAGGCACTCAGAATTTAAGATAAAATTTCAACAAAAATAAAATATTTATTTCCTCCTTCGTCTTTACGCTTTTTGACATAATATTTTTTTCTATTGTTCTATGCTTTCATCCAGTCTAAAATGTTAGATTTATTTGTGGCAAGTGGCTTTTTCTTAGTGAATAAAATTCAGAGCTTATGCCTGTTTACTTTTAAGATTAGATCTCCTTCATAACAATTACTGGCACAACCTTTTTAACTGATGCCTTAGCAAATAGAAGAAATCAATATTACAGTAAGTAAAAATTAGTGTCAACAAAAATATTTAAAAGGAAAATATTTACCGCGGTATAATATATTTGTATATTTATCAATCATTTTTCTCACATAAAAACAAGAAAATACATACCTATTTTTAATCCTCATATAAAATTTTATAAAAAAAACATCAAAAGGACAGTGTTGCAATTATCACTACTCCCTCTCACTTTGCATTTGTCAATTCAAAAGGTGATATTTGAAGCAGTTTGTTTCCTTCTACTTTAACAGATACCAACAGTCTTAAACAGGATCAAGCCAATGAATTGATGGACTGGATAAAAAGCACACTGACCAACAAAGTTAACAATGTCAAGGTAATTAAGTTTAGTCCTAAAATTCTACTGTTTGTATTTTTCTGCATTGGGCTTTAATATTTTTTCATGTAACAGCTCCAGTTTTTAAGCAGGCATCTTTTGTTACAATGTTCATCAAAAGTTGTAGTCAGTGCAGCTTCAGTTATGACTGAAGCCTTTCTCAGCTGTGTTGCTTTTTCTTAGAAAATTCATTCCAATTTATCACTTTATAACCCTCAAGTATCATGTAACTTAAATAAATATTACCAACATTAATTACAGTAAATACTCAGTTTTTCATTAAAGCACATTTATTGATTCATATAAAATATAAATGCATTTTATTTTTTAAAATAAAAAAAAAACTATTCAGATAATATGTACAAATAATGAAGAAAAAAATGTAAGTGACTCTGGTTCATGATTAAAAAATTACTAACAAACTGGAATGATGATGTTAATCTTTAGAAGTACTACAAGCTGAAAAGTTCATGTTTAACTTGTAGAAATTGCATTTGATGACTTCACTTCAAATTTTCTGCTCATTTTCCAAATGTGTGTGTGTGTTCCAAACAATTCCTCATTAATACAGTGTATATTAAATGACTTTTATATTGTTATCCTTTGATTCAAATGACAATGGAGTTAAGTATGTTCAATATTTTAAACCTGCCTTTTTCATTTTCAAAATCTTGTTTTCATCCAGAGATTGTTTTTATCTAAGTCTTTGTCTAATAGATGCCATGATTGTGTTATACAATAGAAATATGAAGCTAATTTAGGACCTCTCGCCATCCCCCATGCTGTGGAGGTTAGAAAATGATTTCAGTTTCAATGAAGCTAATCTATTTCCCTGGCCATCCCAACCAAATGAGGCAGTTAATGTAAAATATACTTTTTTTTTTTTAATTATAAGCATATTAATTCTTTACCTAACAAAGGCATTATTAATACCAAAGGAATTCACTTTTATAAACAATTAGTAAACAGTTAAATACTTGTTACTGATAAAATTCTAAAAAAAATTAGAAATGTATTTTTTTCATTGCAAAAATAAGTGAATTTGTTTTATTTAAAAATAAACTAATTGACTAAGGAATAAGAAAATATGTTTGCTACAAGATCCAAACTTTAATATTGTATATATTTCATCCATTCAGTTTAGCAGTAAATAAAGTGTTGTCACTTATGAAATTGGAGATTCATAATCAAAAGTTCATTCTATTATAAACCAAAGTGAGAAACTTTCCAGCAATGGTAAAGAGAAGGTTGGAGAATTTTTCAGTTTCTTGCTAGGACAACTAACACTTGTTATTGGTTAACCAACTGTAAGGAAAAGCTAAAATTAGTGATGATGCTTGTTATTACTACTAAGGCAACTTACAAGCAAGGTTGTACATTGGTTTTATTTTCCAACTATCATACTAAATGCTTACAATTTATTTAAGGAAATTTATTAATAAAAGGAAAACTGTGATTGCAATGTAAAAAAAAATTTTCTTATGAATTTCGTACTTCTAAAATCTGTGGTGTAAGATGGTTTTACTATCTTCTATTATTACTAAAATTGCAATTATAGTTCCTTATCAAAATTGATATTGGTCTTTAGTTCTGTTTTTTCCTTAAAGCTGATTTTCTTCCTATTTGACTGTACTGAACAGTTATGCCTTGTTGTGTTTGTTGCATTGAAGCTAAGGAGTTGGAGTATGAGACTTTTTCCAATGGCAGCTTCCCGACTTTAGTGTTGGTTGATGTCTGTTTTCTTCATCACTATCTTCTTATTGATTATTGGTTTGTCTGGACAACTGCATTCAGTTGTATAAATGTAGACAGCATGGTGGATAAATACAGTCAAAGATTACAGTGGCAGAGTCAAAGCTATAAGGAGGAAATGACACCAGTTTCTCTGTCATAGCTTTATACTGCTTTCTTGTTTCAATTTAGAATATGTCTCAGTCTTCTTGGAATCAGTCTCACTCATACACACCTAGTTGTGTATTTGGGAAGCAGTCTTTCTCTAATACATGTCTCATTGAAAATGAGTGACTAAGTATTTTCTGTTAAGCATTTTTATTGTTTTTTTATATAAACAAGAGATTTCTTTTATGGCCATAGTGTATGTAGAAATTACCTAAATGGTTGTTTGTTTTAAGTACTTTATGGTTAATTTGTTAACTATTTTCAAGGATTTGGGGTGTGTAGGTTGTTATGTAGGTAGAATTTGAATTTCTGAACATGGCCAGAACATTATGGTCATGTTATGAATTAATATTGTTAAGAGTTTTTTGTTTTTTATGAACTCATTTTCTATTGTTTTTAGATTTTATTTTTTTTTATACATTTATAAATATACAATTTCTATTTGTGTTTTCAATAAGTATTTTGTATATTGAAGTTGGTATATTTTCATGTTGATTTAAATATAAAATTGGGGAGTGCTGAAAGATTTTAGCCAAACCCACTTTCCAAAATTTGATCAGATGAACAATCATCAAACTTTTTATCTCTTCTTGGAGGGGATAAGAACTTTTCAGCATTCTTTTTTTATCTGTTGTGTGTATAGGTGTGTGTTATAAATAATGCTACAAAATAATGTTGAATCAGATCATGAAATAGAGATAAAACTAGAAAACTTGTGTAGAGTTATTCAGTCATTAACACCCACCCCCATTAGTACTGCATTGTCACATCATTAGTACCATAGGGTTCTCAAACACTCCATTTAAAATAATATAGATATATCATTTACAGATTTGATATAGATCACAATCCAACAGAATGATTAGATAAAGAACAAATAGGAAACATTTATCAATCTATAAAATTATTATACACTTACATACATAAATATACATCCACACACACACACACACACATTTAGTACTTAATTTTCTTGTTATATATTGTCTTCACTGTTCTCTCTGATTTTTTATAGGATAAATAAAAATGGAAAAAGATTATTTTGAAAAATTGAATTAAAAGGCCAATATTAAAAAAATGAATTTGTAAGTTTCAAAAATTCAAAAATAGGGTCCATTTCATTTTCAGTAAATATATAAAACTGTAATTCACACAAATATTTTGACTAAACCAGAATCTCCTTTCAGTTATAAGTAACTACAAGGAAATTCTGGTTTTAGTCATAAAATAACTCAAGAAAAAAGGTATTCATAAAGCTACTTGACTAATCATGAAAATTAGACTTACCACTTTCTAAATATTTAGGAAAAACAATTCAAACCCCCCACAGTACAAATGGAGGGTTAAAAATGTATGGCAATACAAATTATAAATCAACATACATCAACAAAAAGTTCAATATTCAGGTTGCTCAAAATAAAATCTATTTTGGCCATAGAAACTTTAACCTTTAACACCTCTACATTACTTCATTTCATCATGAGCATGTTGACCAGCAATTACTACTACTACTACTACTACTGTTAATGTGTGAGCACATATGGAACATTCCCACATATTAACAGCTGTTAATTATGAATTGATAATATTGTAAGAAAGCCTCAATTAACATTCCTGTCTTTGATTATTATATGGTGACTTTCATCTTGTCGGACTGGCCAAAGGCTTTTGACTTTCATTACATATTTCTTCACATTCAGTTAACAAGCTTAATGAATATTGTCTTGATTAGGGTGGGGGGTACCTCTTAGTATTATCCTTAATTTTGCTGATTAACTTAACTTTTGTCAGTGTATATGAAATAGATAAAATGTAGAGGAGTGAAAAAAAATTAATTTCTGTTTCTTGTTATGCTTTCTTTTATACCTGATCAGTTCCTTCTGAAACAGTTTACAATTTCAGTTGTAAGAAGTGCAAAATGTTAGTCAAATATAATGTCATTTTAAATTTATTGAATTTAATGAAGCATTATACAAAGACTTATTTTATGAAATAAAAGCATTATTTTATTTCTTTATCTTTTTATCACTGTCACAAGTTACACATTAGTAACTTCTGTTTTCATTAATATGGGGATACATTTTAAAATTAATTATTGCCCCTATTATATATTAATAAATGCCTATATTTTTTTAGATTTATCTTGTGCATCCAGCATTGTACTTATTAAAGTTTTTATTCAATGTTTAATAATCTGTCAGTGTTAAAGATAAATGCTTTAGTTTGATTCACTGCTACAGCCACAAGTTCAAAAGGCTCTGAATTCCATGGTAAAACAATTTCTATAAATTCAGCAAAGTAAGACAAAACCTAATTTTTTTTTTCCAGGGACAGAGAAACTCCCTAACTTGCAGTCATTCTGGACCCTGTAAAATATATTACTTACAAGCTATAAAATCTTCCTATTAATTTTGTTGTTTGTTCTTTCAGTTTTTCAATATTATGTGAGTCACATAAATCTGGTAATTTTTTTTTCCAATGTCAATAATAATTTAAAAAAACATTGAAAATTTATAAAGATCTATGTTTACTATAGAAATACTTAAAAAGAAAATCTAACATATGACATTTTACTCAACAAATATTTTATATTAGAAATCATTTAAACAGACTTTAATTTATTCCTAATAAAATCACTGAACCCGGCTAGATTTTATTCACCTTATTTGTCTATTAAACTTTTAAATTACTTACATTATTTATATTGTTCGAACTGTTGTCCTCATCTTTATTAGCATATTCATGACATTTCGGCTGTTGTACACTCCAGCCTTCTTCTAGTGATTGGAATTTCGAACTGAACACTTTATTTTGTACACTGGGGTAGATTGTCCTAGTTCCACATGCCATGCCTCTTCCAGATGTCTCACTCAACACAACTCTCCAAGTTTTTTTTTTTTTTTTCACTACTGCAGTATCCAGGTATTGAACTCACAGAGTTAAATCACTGCATCTAACCAACAATAAGAACAACAATCTACCCCGTAAATGTAAATAATGTAAATAACTACAATACCGCATCTCAGAAATATAGACAGATAAACTTTTAAAGCCTATCTGTAAAAGTACTGTAGTCAAATGACCCAAGATCTTTGATCAAAGATCAAATTGTATGCCCAACCAATACATACGTGTCATGTTTATCTCAACAGTTATTCACTTATGATGTTATGAATTAATCAGACTGACTCTAAATACAAACATAAAAACACCAACATTAACATAAAAAAATAACAAAACATTACAATAATAGATAATTTGTTTTAAACATAATTTGCAATATAAATTATTTAAATTTCAACTTCAGAATCAATGGACCATAGATTTAGGTTGTTTAAGAATATAAAGTTGTTAGCAAAGAGCAAATGCTTCTTCCACAAACATTTTTCTCAAAGTTCAGATATCATATTCATAACATTCATTAAATTTTTTTATAATACACATTTTCATTTTGAAGATTATTCTTTGTCATATGAATTCTTTTTAAATGTTTTGGTAGATATTACCTCTTTTATAAGAACATGTACAGGAAATATGTCTAAGAAAAACAATTGCTCAAGACCTGTAAGACCAACAACAAACTAATGGGTAATAATTGCAAACAGGAAAGACATGCTGTTTCTTTCAAATCCATCTTGAACAAATAAAGAATTTCATGTAATAAGTAAATATTTATCACCCTTTGAAATTCATGAAGGTGTCATTTTGTAAAAAAAAAAATCTTGTAACATTGTATTTATTGAAGAACTTGGCTTTGAAATCAAAATAATCAGGATAAAATGTAATGCCAAATGAACCACTCTCATATAAATTTAGAAAATGCTGTAAATTTCCATGAGATTATTGAGTGTACGTGATTGGATAACCTGAACAATAGCACTACTAAATGGCCTGAAATTTATTGATATACTGTGCACCTGTTAGAGATGGTATCAGCTTGTCAGAACATAATTTCCATTGAAATTTCAACTAAAGGACATTAGGTCAGAATATTAGCCTAATGTCTCATCAATATTCCCAATTCTTTCATGTTTATAAATTAAAGTTGAATTGTTTAATTACTAACTTCAGGCTGTTTCTGTCACATTCTGTCCAAAATATTTGGTTATTATATTAACAGCTTTCCTAAATAATACCAAAATTAATTTCTGACCCTTTTAAAGAACAAAATGTAGTTTTATTTAACATTTAAATATAAAAATTTTATTTTTAAACACAAATATAATATTCAAACTTTCTGAATTAAAAGTGAAAATATTGAGGTCTGTGAACGTGAAATGTTTTGAAACATAAGTGTGCATATGACCTTGTATTTACAAAGCACATTGTATGTCTAATACCATAGGCCCATTAAAATAGATAAATCACACATTAGATATACCACATATCATTAATGATTAGTAATATCTGCCTGCTTTTAAACAAATTCAGAATAAAATTATCTGTATTCTTGAAATTTCAAAACTTAATATTACCATTGTGAATAAAATTAAGATTTGTAATCTTTTGAAATAGTAGGTGTATTACAAGATAAAAAATCTTTTTTCTTAAATGCACAAGGATTATTTCTGAACAATATTCGGATAAATTTTTTTTGTCTTTTTCCAAAAATTTTTTTTCTAAAATGAAAAAAAAAAAATTACCTTCTGCATTTTTGTCTATGCTCAAATAACAGTGTTACTTTCCTATAATACCCAAGAAAATTTTGCTTCTACACAAATGTTTGCATGTTCTATTTTCTGTTTATATACATGCTCTGTCTGGCAAGTATCTAACAATATTATCAAAAAATTACCCTGGCAATGGTGCTTTAGTCTTCAGAGTATTCTCTTTTTGACTTTGCATATTCAGCATCCCTTCTAATTTCAAAACAATCTTCAAAATCCTCTTTACTGATTGTAATCAGTTGCTTCATTGCATTATCGTTAGTCTCCTCTTAATGGTCTAAAATACTTTTCCTTTTAATAGTAATTTTTAGATTTGGGAAAAGCCAGAAGTTACAAGGAACAAAACCTGGATTATAGGGGTCAGGATGTTGACAGACATAGTTGATATGATGTTTGCTACACAAAAAAAACCTTCACTACATAGACAAGTGTCATGATGATGAAATTGGTCATCACAACTGTGGCCATTTTCTTAATTTGTAAAGATGTGGTCCTTCTTATGTTTTTGGTTCATGAGGAACACACAACATTTGTATAATTAAGAAAACAAAACAGTCAACATGACCTTGACCCTGCATCAACTTTGCTGTATCTTCTTCAGACTTGGAAATTCAGATTCTGGGAATAAACACATTCCATGTAAGAAAAGATGTACTTGACATGAGTTTAATTGCACAACTTTGGATGATAGAGATCTCTGAGAAACCTTTCAGATCTTTCAAATTTTTAGTGTGGAAGAACTTCAGTCAACTTAAGGGTGTTGAGGAACTCACTTGGGTTATAAACAGCTTTAGAAGCATCTAGAATTGTATCAATTGACTTGTACAATTAAATCTCCCCAAGAATCTCAGTTTATTTTATTGCATCATTCTTTGATGCAAAAAGGTTTCCTTCAAAGAGTCACTGGAATTTTCTGTGCTTCCAGACTATTTTTACATTTAAAACAGCTGATGAAAAAAATCATGTCTAATCCAGAGAATTTTTGTCTGAAAACATTTAACAAACAAAACAAAAAATGAGGTTTATAATCTTTTGACCTTTGACAATGGAGATCAACACTTTGAAACCTATAATCTTTTTCTGCTCAAATTAACCTCACATAGCAATCCAATTCCAAGAATGCCATTGTTTAGCTTAATACACATTAGTGACAAACTTTCTACTTCCAGTGACCACTGAGGTCAAATTTGACTTTATTCACTCTACCACTTGTGAGATCAAAAAACATTTTCATATTACATTCTATTTGATTAGAAATGGTATACTCTAAAGTCAACTTTAGATAATCTTTATCACCACTAGATGCCTTGTAAATCTTCATATCAATAATTAAGTCAATAGGCTTTGTTGTTTGAATGTGACTGAGGCACACAGAGAGACTGCAAGTAGTAATCTTAAATAATTTAATTTTTTTAAAATTTCTCTAAAAACTTAATGCATTTTAAATAGCTACAAAAACATAAATAAATTTGAGAAAATCCCACAAATTAAATTTATAAATCCCATGAATAAAATGTTAACATTTACCGTCAATGTGACCTTATTTTCTTGACTGAATAATTTGGAATAACAAAGACAGATTTCTTTACTAAAGCATAGATATGTGCACACATTTATTTTACATGAATACAATTTGTTGACAAAGCAGAACAGGTTTTTATTTTGTTTATTATCCTTTCTGTATATTTTGTCTGCTTATTTTTTAATGCATTTTACTATAAATATAACAAAGCACAAGAAAATAGTCACCAACGTTTTCTCTTCCATTTCAAAAATTTTCTTTCACTTTCATCTGATCACAATATCTTTTTCTTTTCAAAAGAAACAATTTGTATTCATTTTTATCATAGAAGATATCTAAAGTCATGCAAGTCTCAGTGTTTTCATAACTGTCACCATGTTCATTGCTGACTGTTCATCAGCATCACTCTCTATACATACTCAGAGTTAAAATCAAACCCCAACTTTAGCTAAGCATTAAACAATTTTTAAATGACTATCACAATATCAGCACATGATTTTCTGATTTTAAAGAGTTTTATTTTACTCCTCATTATTTAATTTCAATCTTTGTTTTGACTTGCTTGATATAAGGATACAAAGGGGTTCTGAGAAATTCCCAGCCCAGCCCAAAAGAGAATGACCTTGAACCAAAATTGTATGTGGTTTTCTGCATATTAACTCTATAGTTCAACAAAGTTGGCACAATTCTTGTAATTCTTCAAAATAAATTCTGATGTTTGGTCATTGTAATATTGATTTTAGGGTCAAACTGAGCATCCTCTCGTATGTTTACCTGAATGAATACTGAAATTTGTTATTGCCATCTATTTTGCAGGTCACCAAACGTTTAGTGTCTCACCCTTGTATTGTGACCGTAGTTGAAATGGGCTCTGCTAGACACTTTCTCCGTACTACATTGGCTGATAAATCACAAGAAGAACGATACAGACTTTTACAACCCACTCTTGAGATAAACCCAAGGTGAGTTAAATTAATGCTATTTGTTTTTTTTTTTCCTTGAAGTGGCCAACCTACAAAGGTTAAGCCATAAAAGCAAATCAAACAACAATCAGTTCTTGAAGTGGAAATTCATACACTTAATTCCCTCTATAGATCTTTAAACAGTAGTATTCTATTCATACTATTTCTAATTTTTAAACTAAAAAGTATAACTTCTTAGATGATTATTTGAATCTCAATAGTGAATAAGCTCTCAACTTGCATCCCTTTTGACTTGAGAAGCTCTGCTCTGTTGTCAGACATTATAAGTTATTTCTTATTTTCCTTTCCAATTATGGTGTAAAACTGAAGATCTCATAGATTGTTCAAATGATTAAAACAGTTTCCCCAAGACAAAAAGGATTCAAGCTTCAATTTTTCCAAGAGTTTATTCTCTATTTCCAATCCTCATTATTTACTTATGGCTGTAGAACAATGGTCTACTGAAATTAAAAGAAATATTCCCGCAAAAATTAATATTTGCAACATTCTTGTTCAGCTATAACAATTATATATTTTTGTAATCCATTTCCTATTTCAGACTTTATGAAATATTTGCAGTTTGTAATATGGGCATTATTTTTGTATTTCCCTTTTACCAGACTGTGATGATTATGTGATTTGAAATAAACCAACATTTTAAATGAACTCTATGCCATTATCAACTATATTGTTTTATTAGATGACTTTGCTATTCTTCCTATAGCTCTAGATAAGCTCTTTGTTGAATACCAATGATTATCAAGTCCTTGAAAGGATCACATGCTTGAGGCAACAATAAAACAGATTAAAAGAAACTTTTAATCTTTTAAAGTTGATAAACTAAATGAGAAAATAGATAAAACTGTGAATACAATAATGATCTTTGGGAAACGAGCACTTGTCACAGTGTCTGAAACTACTCAGGGAAAGTCATTTTTGTCACAAAAATTTTTGAGTCTTTTCACTGTACTCCTCTTTAAAAAAAAATTGACTTTTGCTTGAATTTTGTCTTCATTCTTATATTATTGCCCAGATTAAAATGTTGACCTTGAATTCTAGAAAAAAAAAAGAAGGTATATGTTTAATTAGAATATAAAATATTAATTCATCATTTTGGGAATATCATCAAGCATAAACATAACAGACATAATTATTTACATGAGCTTTGAATACTTATTTTCCTTCCAAATATGACAGAATATATATATCCAAATATGATCTACAAAGCAAACTGATATAATGAAGATAAATTGATATTGATACATGTATTGATTGATGATAGTAATAATGTGATTATAAAAAAGCACATTAAATAACATATGGAGTGATATTTTCAATCCAACATGTGAGTGTGTGTTTAATCTATCTACCTATATATATATATATATATATATATATATATATATATATATATATATAGATAGATTTTGATGTATTTATGAACAAAGAGTGCTCAGTATCAGATAAATCATTTCTCAATATAAACTGTGTGCACATAGAACAAACACTGCATGGTAACTAGCAGTTTCACACTTTAATCACTGATAAAGTTAATATTTATATTCACTTATATATATATATATATATATATATATATATATATATATATATATATATATATATATGAGAGAGTGATTAGAATAAGGCTTTAAGCTCAGCTCTATTTCAGCCAGTTTTGACTTGCTTTTGTTTCATCTGTTATGAATTCATTTTTTTGTGTCAAATCTTCAGTTACTGTAAACAACTTTCCTACAAGTAATAACATGTAAAATTATCTAAGTCAATAAGGACCAATATACAACCTACAAGGGACTGTGAATTGACTGACAAACCCTCTACTCTTATCTTAAAAATTAAGTATCCATTATCAGAATATGGTAAAGAGTATATTATGTTTAATTTAAATTTTATTTTCTATTTGTTTTGTTTTTGGTCCATAGTCTACCAGTATGAACTTTTGTCTCCTGATAAGTTTACTCTCTAAAATCTTGTTCAGATGAAATAAATAGTTTATGATAACTTGTGCAAAATGTATACCAACCCACAAATATTAGACATGGACAAAGATCGTGTGTGTGATATTTTGAATTATTTTTTTATTCCATTAAAAAAAAGGATTGAGTACAGAAACACTTTCTTTGATTTCTTGAATAGATTAGAAATTAACTTTTTACATATCTCAACATTATGAACTGATTCATTTTTTTTTATATAATTTAGGCATCTGGAGATAATGCATGAGTACAGAAAGCTAGATCTCTCTTTTAATTTTTCTTACTAAATTTCTAAGCTTGTATTATTAAATTTACTTAGGTTAATGAAATGATAGGTTCATGAGCATGAATAAAATGATGACTTGACATTGATACCTACAATCATTGTCAAGTCACTATTATAAATAATATTAACATGGTAATTAAAATATCCTATAGGAAAGCTCATTATATATCTATCAATATTGTTGATTAACCATTAATATTCAAAGCAAATATTGTTAAAGAAAAAATTTGTCATCAATCGTTTAATGATTTTGAATAAACCAAATCATAAAATAAATTGTAAAGCAATTTGTAAACTGAAATGACAAAATGCAATTATAATAATTGATACACAAAAGAACAGATCTAATGACACTTAAATTGATATTTACACAGACGCACTGATTGATGTGAAGGATAATAAGATTCTATCATTCCAATCTAGTTTGCACAAGAAAATAAATCTGCCATATTGTAGAGTTATAAATGTTAACTTCTGTGACTTTTTAGTGAAATTTCCAATGTAAGAAATTAAACTACCTCACTTACTACATTTAAAACTATTTTTAAAAAAAGTTAAGTGTTGATCATTATATCACATCAAAAGTTCCTAGCATTTTTTTTTTTTTTTTTTTGAAAACTAGACTGAATACGATATTTGAAAACTTCCTTTTTTGTTGGAAACATTTTGCACATACCTGAAAGAAAGAGTTCTTGAAATTGAAACAAAAATCTCTCTCTCTCTCTACTTCATTGAAAGCAAAATCAGAATTATTTGACATTGACTGTTATGACTTTGTGCTGTACTTGTTACAGAGTGTCTACTAGGCTTCATTATTGTAGTTTATTCTTTTCTACAATTTATTCAATTAAACAGTTTCATCATTTTAAATGCAAATCAGGAAATCAAATTCACCAGCAAAGGTTAATAATAATGTCAAGCTATTCAAGTTGTGCAAAGGCTGAATTTCACTGTTATTGTTACAGGTCAACTTATTTACCTGAAAATAACTTTAGACATTGTAGGTTGAGTGTTTTACTGCTTTAATTATTACAAATAGAAAAAAAATAAACACTTCTCAAATATTTTATTGTGTTTGTATTACTAAAGAAATGATTACTTTCTCAGCCACCATAACTAGAATGATTATTATGCTATGAAAAGCATCTAGAATGACTTAGAGCATTTTGGGGTTCATTAAAAAGTTTATTTTGTTTGTTGAGAAACTTTATCAAACAAATAGCATTTTATTTAAAAAAAAAAAATTAAGGTCATTTGCCATCCAAACAGAATATGGATTAGATAATGATTTTTAAACATGTTTTTGATAATAGAAATTGCAGAGACATGTCAGAAAAGAATGACTGACAGTGTACAGTATAGGGGTATTGTTGAAATGTGTCCTTAACCTAGGTACCTCCACGAGATCGCTAAAAAAAGAGCATAGCATGATGAAAAAGACGCCAAACTTGACGAAAACAAAATTTTATCGTCTAAATGTTTGTTATTATTAAGAGGAAAGGTCAAAGTATTTTTGGGGTATTTTTTTCCATTTTTTAATCGTTCCTAGCACGTCCGAAATTTTCGTTAAAAATCTAGTTTTTTTTTTGAGTCAGCAAAATTGACCATTTTTTCCATTTTAAATAAAACTGAAATCTGACTTTGAAATTTTTTAAATATCAATTATCATTTTTTCAAAACTTATTTTAAGAAAATCAGAAATTATAATGTTTATTTAAAATATTTTGAACCAAACTTAACTTAGCTTTTGTGCCAAAAAGATGTAATTTGAAAATAAAACAAAGCAGGTCATAAACTTTCGCGTCTCTTGACATGTGATGAATGATATATTTACGAATTCCATGAGGCTAATTTGTTCTACGGAAGGAGAAAAGTGAAATAATTTACATTTACGTGAACAAATTATTTACCCCGTTATTTTTAACGAAAACTTTCAGCGGTCTAATTTTTTTTTTTTTTTTGGACTTAGCTTTCACCTTTACGTTTATGATGCTTTATAGGAAATATATTCTAAAGAAATTAAAATAAAACTGTTAAGAGTGACATTAAATTTCATATTTCTTAAGAAAGGTATCTAATTAATTTATAGGTACCTTTCTTATGAAATTTTATCAAATTGTACATAAAATACTATAATTTTATGTACATTTATTACATTCTACTGTTATTTGTATTTGCATTCATTTTATTATTAATTTTGATATTTCATTTATGGAAAAATGTCGTAACTGAGATTAATATAAAAATAAGATCATATAAATTTCATAAGATGATACTGATACTTGTAGGTACCCTTCTCAGTTGAAATTGAAAAATCAAATTAACTTCTCCACACGTGTTTCGCAAAAAGTAAAGGCCTTAACAGCGGAGAACAATGCTCAACTCAAATAACGCAACTTAATTATATTCTGGTTGGTCTTCCGTATTTTATAATTACAGCTCGATTATAAGCACAAAATTACATTTCTTAATTACTGGGGATCTTCTGATTAGTCAAAATGATACAATTTACAACGCTAAAAAAAGATCTATCTCATAAGGACACTTATGAAAGCCGATGTGGCTTTTAACTAATTTTATAATATTTTAACAACTTAAATGTAAAATCTATTATAATTAATGAAATAACAAATAATTGTATTAAAATTCATTTTTCATCGAAAAAATTTTTTTGCTTTCAGAAAATATTGTCCATATTCATAAAAACAACTAAAAGCAAA